CTTTCCTGGCCTTAGATTTGGTTTCTGTTAGCTTCCCTGGCCTTAGGTTTGGTTTCTGTTAGCTTTCCTGACTTTAGGGTCGGGTATTCTATCACAAAAGCTTTCAGTCACCTCCAATATTTTTTTCTTCAGAATTGACGACCTCCCTCAGCCCCCTCCTCCTCCTCCTCCTACTCCTCCTCTTCTCCCTCTTCCTCCTCTACCATCTCCCCCCCCCTTCCAATAGTTTCTTCCTAACCACCCACTCTGGCACCCCGTTCCAGTCCTCACGCCCACAGCTAACTCCCGCCCTCCACCTCTCGCATTGACCAACTTCACTTAACCTCTGGGACAGTGACATGACGCTGTCTCTCTTCTGCTGTTCCTCCCAGCCTCCTGATGAAGTTCACCTGTCACCTCTACTACCACATGTCACCTCTACTACCACCTGTCACCTCTACTACCACCTGTCACCTCTACTCCCACCTGTCACCTCTACCACCTGTCACCACCCACCTGTCTCACCTCTACCACCACCTGTCACCTCTACCACCTGTCACCTCACCACCTGTCACCTCTACTACCACCACCCACCTGTCACCTCTACCACTACCCATCACCTCTACCACCACCCCTCACCTCATCGCCCTACCACCACACCACCACCACCCATCACCTCTACCACCTCCCATCACCTGTCACCTCTACCACCACCCATCACCTCCATCACCTCTACCACCACCCATCACCTCTATCACTACCCATCACCTCTACCACCACCCATCACCTCTACCACCACCCATCACCTCTACCACCACCCGTCACCTCTACCACCACCCATCCTCTCACCACCACCCATCACCCTACCACCACCCGTCACCTCTACCACCACCGTCACCTCTACCACCACCCATCACCTCTACCACCCATCACCTCTGCCACCACCCATCACCTCTACCACCACCCATCACCTCTACCACCACCCATCACCCTACCACCACCCATCACCTCACCACCACCCATCACCTCTACCACCACCCGTCACCTCTACCACCACCCATCACCTCTACCACCATCACCTCTACCACTACCCATCACCTCTACCACCACCCATCACCTCTACCACCACCATCACCTCTACCACCCATCCTCTACCACCACCCATCACCTCTACCACCACCCATCACCTCTACCACCACCCATCACCTCTACACCCCATCATCTGCCATAATCACTAGGTGGTGGGTAAATAAGTATCACAAATGACTTTAATTAGCCAGGTGAGGATGGCAGCAAGTTACTTCACCTGTGTGACTTTGTCTCTATCGTAGTGAGGAGAGAGAGAGAGAGAGAAGAGAGAGGAGAGAGACCCCTCCATCACTTATCATCCCTGTTGCCTCCCTTTCACTTCCTGCCTCCCATCACCTTGTACCCTTCCCATCATCCCTGTTGAGGCCCTTCACTTCCTGCCCCCTCCATCACCTTGTACCCTTCCCATCATCCCTGTTGGGGCCCTTCACTGCCCCCTCCCATCACCTTGTGCCCTTCCCATCATCCTGTTGAGGCCCTTCACTTCCTGCCCCTCCATCACCTTGTACCCTTCCCATCATCCCCGAGGCCCTTCACTTCCTGCCCCTCTCATCAGGCCACTACCGGTCGTATGCTCCTTCTGTTGAAATATTCGAGGGTACAGTTCAGCGGTGAGGTATATTGATCTACTATTCTGGACGCTCTTGTTCAATTCAGTAGTGAAGAAGGACGTCCCCAAACACATTACTTTAAGATTATTCCAGGCATCACCAGTTTATATTATCTGATCATTAAACCCAAGCCTTAACCTGATATAATGTAAAATAATCTAATATAATCTAACCACCTTTATTCAATCTAATCTGACTAAACCTAATCTAACTTGACTAACCAATCCTATTCTAATCTAATCTGATCTAACACAAGGTTAAGGATAGGTTAAATGAAGGTCAAGGTCAGGTTAAAATGAAGGTTAGGATAGGTTAAAAGCAAGGTCAATACAAGGTTATCAAAATTATTGTAGATTAAATTCAAAGTCAATTCTATCAAAGTTAAGGTCAGGTTAATAATCGAGTCAAGGTCAGGTCAGGAGCAAGTTTAGAGTCACTTCAAATGGCGGTCAAGGTACAAAAGAAGGTCAATATAGGTTAAAATCTACATAAATCAGGCTCATAATCAATAGAAATATATGTTAATAATGTAAATAGTCGAGAGAATTAATACGGGTTAAATTGATCGATGGAAAACTTGTATTAAACTCTACGGTATCTTGGACGATATAAATGTGTTGGTGAAGAAGATAACGTGTGGGGGAGAGCAGTCAAGTGGCCGCTGTTGGAACACGTGGTGGAGGTGTGGGGAGGAGGCAGTCAAGTGGCCGCTGTTGGAACACGTGGAGAAGGAGCCGTTGTGTTAGGATTCACCTTGTGATCAGTGGCTGTGTGTCAGCTCATCGATCCTCCCTCAACAACCACTCAACCCTTATCGCCGCCCAGAAGCCTCGCCAAATTAGCGGTTGATTCTTTTGGTTTATTAACTCCCTGTCGTCAGCAGAGTGGAGTGGTGGAGTGGTGGAAGAACCTAACTCGCGTCTCGGTGGCTTATGTTTGGAGGAAATGTGAACGGTTTAGTGAGTTGAAGTGGTGAAATGACCTAATCTAATGTAACCAAACGCTAATTTGACTTAGGCTCATCAACCCAACCCAACCCAACAGGTAGCGTTGGTATTTGTTGAATGAGACCGAGGTCCTCTGAAATTATTTTGTAAGTAGTGAACTGTTGTCCACGTCAAGGAGTCTTGTCATCGGAGAACCACGACGAAGAGGAAGATCAGGGTCCTTGAACCTGCTGGTGGTGAGGGCGCTGATATCACCTTAGAGGGGAGGTGTTGTTATGTAGTGCCTTTTCTCTTTTCCTTCTTTAAATCTTCTTTCATCTTCCTCTTCCTCACCTCCCTCTTCCTCACACCCTTCTACCTCACACCCCACACACACCCCCCACACCTCCACACACCCCACACCCCCACACCCCCACCCACACCCCCACACCCCCACACCCCCACCACCCCCACCCCCACCCCCCCACCCACACCCTCCACCCCTCCACCACCCACCCCACCTCCTCACATCCCCTCCACACCACCTCCCCCCTCCACCCCCCACCCCCACACCCCCTCATCCCCACACCCCACCCCACCACACCCTCACATCCCCCACCCCCCACCCCCACCCTCCACCCCTCCACACCTCCTCCACCCCTCCACCCCCACACCCCCACCCCCCTCACCCCCCCTCACCCCCCCACACCCCCCACCCCTCCACCCCCTCCCTCCCCCCTCACACCCCACACCCACCTCCACACCCCCCACCCCTCCACCCCCCCCCCCTCCTGTGTTGTTCCTTCACCTATTCATATCTTCTGATGTTGTTTGTCTGCGCCGTATAAAGGTTACAACACACAGTTCATGCTGCCAACACTTTCTTTCTCTGACAACACTGACACCACCTATTTGTCCACTTTACCTCTCTCTCTCTCTCTCTCTATCTCTATCTTTCTCCTTATCATAAAGCTTTCTTCTCTACTCCTTCCTCCTCCCTCCCATTTCTCCCTCTCCTCCTTCCTCCCTCTCACTCTCCCTTCTTTAGTATCTTCTCCTCTCATTCTTACTCCCCTTCCTTCACCCTGTCTCCCCCCCCTTCCCCCCTCCATGTTTCCTTCTCTCCTCTTTGGGGCAGAAACAGAACAGAAAAGAAGAAACAGGTGAGAAAAGAAAAAAAACAGAAAGAATAATAAGATAAATCAGAGAAGAAAAAGAAAACACGAAATAAATGGTAATAGGAGTAAGAGACATAATATTAAAGAGAGGCACTAGAGAGATCAAATACTGCAGACCAGCAGGAGAAATAGATCGATGAAAGGTCTCTGCTCCTCTCTCTCTCTCTCTCTCTCTCTCTCACACACACACACACTTTACACGTTCTTTCTCTGTGTCTGTCTCTCTCGGTTTTTGTCTATTGTAATATATGTATGTGTAGTATGTATGTATGTGTGTATGTATGTATGTGTGTATGTATGTATGTATGTATGTAAAATATTTAAGTCTGTCTGTCTGTCCGTCCGTCTGTCTGTAAGAACACCAATTGAAGTAACTAAAACTTACACAGAGTAAAATCTAAACTTGGAACACTGTGATTAAAAGTTAGGTTAGGTAGGTTAGGTTAGGTTAGGTTAGGTTAGGTTAGGTTGTTAGGTTAGGTTAGGTTAGGTTAGGTTAGGTTATAATTTGCCACATTTGTTATAGATTTGTGTAAATTGGATCTAAATTTGAGGCTCTGGTAAGCCAGAGTTTGTTATTATAATCCCAATCATCGTCCTCCATCATCATCGTCGTCATCATCATCGTCATCGTCATCGTGTCATCTCTAAACACCAACCTAACTAACCTTTCTGATCTTAAGAGCTGCTCCTGCCTGCTCCCCTAGTGTGTTTGCTGAGCCACACTTGACAAAATGTACCACAGAGTTTAACACTGCCTGGGTGACCTCTTGACTGCCTGGGTGACCTCTTGACTGCCTGGGTGACCTCTTGACTGCCTGGGTGACCTCTTGACTGCCTGGGTGACCTCTTGACTGCCTGGGTGACTTCTTGACTGCCTGGGTGACCTCTTGACCTGGGTGACCTCTTGACTACCTGGGTGACCTCTTGACTACCTGGGTGACTTCTTGACTGCCTGGGTGACCTCTTGACTTCTGGGTGACTACCTGGGTGACCTCTTGACTGCCTGGGTGACCTCTTGACTATCTGGGTGACCTCATGACTACATGGGTGTCCTCTTGACTACCTGGGTGACCTCTCGACTGCCTGGGTACCTCTTGACTGCCTGGGTGACCTCGACTGCCTGGGTGACCTCTTGACTGCCTGGGTGACTTCTTGACTGCCTGGGTGACCTCTTGACTTCCTGGGTATTCTTGACTACCTGGGTGACCTCTTGACTACCTGGTGTCTTCTTGACTACGGGTGATCTCTTGACTGCCTGGACCTCTTGACTGCCTGGGTGACTTCTTGACTGCCTGGGTGACTTCTTGACTGCCTGGGTGACCTCTTGACTGCCTGGGTGACCTCTTGACTGCCTGGGTGACCTTTTGACTACCTGGGTGACCTCTTGACTGCCTGGGTGTCCTCTTTACCTGGGTGACCTCTTGACTGCCTGGGTGACTTCTTGACTGCCTGGGTGACTTCTTGACTGTCTGGGTGACCTTTTGACTACTTGGGTGACCTCTTGACTGCCTGGGTGACCTCTTGACTGTCTGGGTGATCTCTTGACTGCCTGGGTGATCTCTTGACTGCCTGGGTGACCTATTGACTGCGTGGGTGATCTCTTGACTGCCTGGATGACCTCTTGATTGGTGACCTCCTTGACTGCCTGGGTGACCTATTGATTTGGGTGATCTCCTGACATCCTGCATGACCTCTTGACATATTGCGTGACCCTTGACAGCCTACATTACTCACTGCCGAGCAAATTTGACCTCTGCTTGACTTCTCAGCAGTGGTCTCAAGTTTGAAGAGGACTAAAGGAACAGCTGTGGCCTCAAGCTCTTAGTGTGCTATACGGGTTCAGATGGTCTCAAGTTTAGCAGGCCTCAAGCTTGTTGGACTTAAAAGCTTTACTACCTCCTTTTTAAAGGGATTAAAGTCTAAAATGAACTTGTTTAAGCTTTGAGGAATTTATTGGTTGTTTTAGTAGCTTACATGAAGACAGATCGTGAGGTGCTCTCGCTTAGCTCTTCCTGGAGTGATCTGAGTTTCCTCCCACTCTGGCAGCCCACCTCATCACGCCACAGCCCACCTCATCACGCCACAGCCCACCTCATCACGCAGCCCACCTCATCACGCCACAGCCCACCTCATCACGCCACAACCCACCTCATCACGCCACAACCCACCTCATCACGCCACAACCCACCTCATCACGCCACAACCCACCTCATCACGCCAAACCCACCTCATCACGCCACAGCCCACCCCACATCACGCCACAGCCCACCTCATCACGCCACAACCCACCTCATCACGCCACAACCCACCTCATCACGCCACAGCCCACCTCATCACGCCACAACCCACCTCATCACGTCACAGCCCCCATCACGCCACAGCCCACCTCATCACGCCACAACCCACCTCATCACGCCACAACCCTCACATCACGCCACAGCCACCTCATCACGCCACAACCCACCTCCGTCACCTGTCTTAGTCAAGGTGTTGCTCTGACGACAGGTGGTCACATCGCCTCCAGTGTGAACAACTCTTCCGTATATTTCCATGAGAAAAATTCGTACATGAAAACAAGGTCAATTAATTCCAGCTTACAATATATACAGATGTAATTTGTGTTAACAACCTCATGCGACGTAAAGTTATTTGAAGATTATACAGTGTAATAAAATATAGAAATAATTACTTCAATGTAGCATAGTTTTTACTCTATCATAACTCTTGACAACATGTTACTGAACTAAAGCACATTTCTTATCCCTTCCTTCCTTCCTTCCTTCCTTCCTTCCTTCCTTCCTTCCTTCCTTCCTTCCTGCCTTCCTTCTTCCTTCCTTCCTTCCTTCCCTCCCTCCTCCCTCTTCCCTCCCACCTTTTCCTATCCCTCCTACCTCCTTCCTCCCTCCCAGTCTCCTCCCACTACCCTATTCACGGACCCACTGAGTCAGAGGTGATAGTTGCCAGCTCTTATTTGTTTATACTAAAACAGTAATAAATGACTTTATGTGATTTGAACATTTTATAAATATATTTAACGAACGAAAATGAGATTATATAAAACCTAACTAACAACCCTTTGAGTATGGTGGTTTAATCCTCGAGTGATGATATAACCTCTTGAGTACTATGATTGAAACCTTGAGTACTATGATTTAACCTCTTGAGTACGATGATTTAACCCTTGAATACGAAGACTATTCGGAATTTGAATAATTGTAATCAAGGTGTAAAATGTCAGTCAGCAGACCTTGTACTCAGGTGATTACGTCATCGTACTCAACAGTAAAATGACATGCCAACTTGATGTTCTTGGCGCCTCCCTCTCTCACTCTCACCATCCCTCACCTCTCACCATCCTCACCTCTCCACCCCTCCTCTCATCACCTCTCACCTCCCATCACCTCTCACCATCCTCCTCTCACCATCCCCTCACCTCCTCCACCATCCCCCTCCTCACCATCCCTCACCTCTCACATCCCTCCTCTCACCATCCTCACCTCTCACCATCCCTCACTTCTCACCATCCCTCCTCTCACCATCCTCACCTCTCACCATCCCCTCACCTCATCACCTCACCATCCCTCACCTCTCATCATCCTCACCTCCTCATCACCCCTCACCATCCCTCACCTCTCATCATCCTCTCTCCCCAACCCCTCACTTCTCATCACCCCTCACCTCTCATCACCCTCACCTCTCATCCCTCACCTCTCATCACCCCTCACCTCTCATCACCCCTCACCTCACTTCACCCCTCACCTCTCATCAGCCCTCACCTCTCATCACCCCTCACCTCTCATCATTCTCTCTCCTTGACCATTAGTCTCTTTTTCCTTCTTATCACTTATTGTTTTATCATCTCATCTCCCTCCTCTTTTATCTCCCTCCTTTCTCTCTCCTCCCTCTCCACTTCTCTCCCTCCTTTCTCCTCCCTTCCACTCTTCTTCCTCTCTCTCTCTCCCTTCACCTTTCTCCTTCCTTCCTTCCTTCTTCCCCTCAGTCTTTATCCATTCATCCCCCTCTTCTTCATCCTTACTCCCTCCCATCTTTTCCTCTCCTCTCTTCCCTCCTCCCTCCTCTCCCCTCTCCCACAACCCCCTCCCTCTCCTCCTCTCTCCCACAACCCCTCCTCTACCCTCTCCTCCTCCTCTCCCTCCCTCTCCCTCCCCTCCCCTCTCCCTCCCTCTCCCCAACCCTCCCTCTCCTCTCCCTCTCTCCTCCCCTCCGCTCATGTTCACGAGGCATCAGATTGCCAGGACCCTATATGGGCCGCTGGAAACTGGTAAACTGAGGAGATGAGGTGAGCCGGGGTGGGAGGGAGGAACTAAGAGCTAAGGTGAGAGGATAAGAAGTAAACAAGGGAGGTGAGAAAGAGCAGGAGGAGAAGGGAGGCTAGGGAAAAGGAGGTTGAGAGATGGAAGAAGGGAGGATTGAAGAGGAAGGAGAGGTGGGAGGAAGGAGGGTTAGATGAAGGGATATTGGGGAGGAGGATAAAGGAGGAGAAAGAAGGAGAGATTAGGAGGAAAGGAAGTTTAAGGAGAAAGGAGGAAGGAGAGTTGGGGAGAAGGGAGGAAGAAAGAAACAAACATTCACAGTTAACTAATGACTGTATACGTTGCAACTATGGACTGTTCAGGCTCCC